TAGTGCTAGCCAGAAACAGGTTGTGGTCTGCGCACAGTTGCAGTAGACGGTCCCCATTATCTGTCCTGAGACCAACAAGTTCCCATTGGCCACCTAGACGATTCTCTTCTGTGCTCGACCTGAGCATTCAAGTCTCCGGCTAGTACTACAATATCTGTCGGACGCACTTTCTGGAGAAGAACTGCTAACTGGCGTTAGAATTCATCCTTGATTGCATCCGGGCTGCAATCTGTTAGGGCATAGGCGGAGATGACGAAAAGACATCGTTTCTCACTCCGATTTCTTCTCACTTTGATGGAACTCTCTAATCTAACAGTACATAACCGACTGTTAATGGGGATCCAATCGATTAGTGCTGCCTCAGCTCTAGCGCTTAGTCCGACACCAACGCCAGCAAGACCAGACAAAGATGCCACAGGGTCCCCGGATAAGCGCACGTAAAACAAGCCTTTTGAAGCGACAGATGGAGAACGAATTTGTAGTACTTCATCAGAGTCTTGAATACGGGTCTCGGATAGACAGCAGACATCGATATTAAGACTTTCTAAGGACATAGCCAGCCCTATCTGTTGTCCAATCTGCATAAGTGTGCGAAGGTTGAAGGCAGCCAGTTTGAATGATGCACGTGGTTTCATTAAAACTGCTTCAGTACTCATGTTCGGTGGTAACATACAGTTTTCAACCAGGCAGTGACTCGAGAACATTTAGACAGAACCGAGTTTCCACCATAGAGTGGGAATATAAGAGAGTGAATAAGTGACGTGGTAAATAATAATAATGTGAATTGTTTGACTGTTAATCGAAGCGTTAATAGAATTCTCAGTAAATATCGTCATTTTAATTTTATTTGCATGTGAGCTGTGATACTGCCCGGGTGCCCAGACCGAAGCAGGTGGTTTTCTTAGGGGGCCACATCCCGAGCATTTGACCTAAAGGTCTAACCTACATGGCAGTGGAGCATTGTGAGGAGATGCAATCCCATGGTAGCCGGTGACCAACGATTGGTTCATACGCTATTTGTTCCCGCAGGATACTGGAGCCCATGTGCATCACCGGACATTCGCTTTTCGTCCTCTCATTTTCGTAAACAACACTAATGCCACGAGAAGGCAGTGAGTAGGACTTCCCTGACAGAGGCTGTATATGCGTTGCCGTGTGAGAGTATTTCGAGAGGGAGGGCGAGTCCATCCCACTCTCGCCCATAATAGGGCATTAGTGGGCAATATAAAATAAGTACTACAAGACCATGTTGGTCGGCTTTTAGACACACTCTTGAGGATGTAGAGACATTGATGTTGTGACAAAAATGTTTTTTCTTAAATCTTGAAAAAATGCGGTAACGAACCTTTTCGGTGATGATAAAAACGTATTTTGATTTTAAACAAGTAGTTTGATATTATAATCTGAATAAATCAACACTCAATCACTGATAGTCTCCAACGTTAAAATTTCGAGAGTAAGGTTCTAATGCAATTCACTGTGTAGTACAAATGGTATAAAGCTTATTTATGTACAAAAGATATAAGATTGAAGAACTTTGTTAACTGATATTTTTAATTTGAAGTTGTAATAGGGATCTAAAAGTGAGGAAGTTGCTTGGGATTCTGATTTTCCTGTTATATATAATGACGAAACTTAATAGTTAATGGCTAAACAAACTATCATATATGAAGCTCATTTGATTGTTTCGAATTTTTCTAATCCGTATCAGTGTCGACAAATCTTACACGATGTGGCATTCACCGGGACGACATTCGTAGTACGTGTCCAAGCCACCGACCTTGTTTCAGCGCGAATTGTCGTCAGTGTGTCTGAACAAGTTATCGAACCTTCTTATTACTAACATGATGTTATCACTGAGTTTCATTAATCCTTTGAAGACAACAATGATCTAACCTAGATTTGTCTAACATACTCAACCCCGAAAGCCCAAGCTTCAAAAACCTATAGCAAAACTGCTCTTACCGGCACGTCGTAAACCAAACTTTTTGCTGTCAGACTGTGGAACTTGTGTTCCTAACTTGAGGTTTTGGTGATCCCTTGCTACTAGACACGGAAGCCTGTTAAGCGAAAGCTTCTTCTATTCCTTCCACAACCATTTGAACCATTTGAATTGATCTTATCAGTCATACAAAAATCAGCATCTACACAAATGCACAAAATCTTTGACCAATTCTAACTACTAACGATCGAGAGTGAGTGTTGTTACAGGTCACTGAAGGTTTTGTAAAAATACTTTGCACTTAAAAGATTAAAAGCGATTGCTATAACTATGGATTGTTTGCCAACTGATTAAGTGTGGATTGCTTTGCTTGAGCATCATCTCATAGTAAGAAAATGTAATCCGACATTATTATAGATAGCTAAGATAGAGTATTTAACATGTGTACCAAAAACCGTAATTGCTGTGCATAAGACTAGTGTGTTATTCTGCAATGTTAAGGATGGGATTGCCGACTGTTTAGGTGTGGATTGCTTTGCTTGAGCATCATATCATAGTAAGAAAATGTAATCCGAATACTCAAGATTGAAAGATCTTTCTCCAGTAAAAAGATCCACGCAACTATTACCTTTTCCATAAGAGCAGTTTCCAGCATATCATCTATGGGAAAGTTAAAGAGCAACGACGATATTGTCTAACCCCACCTAACCCCGCTGCTTGAATGGGACAATGAGGAGAGATAGTTATATACTCTCATTCTGTCTGAGGTGTTTGTATGTGAGAAATTCAGGATGTTAATAAACTCAGGTACACCTATCTAGCAGACAATACCAGAGCACAGTATTGCCTAGCAATTCGAAGACGGCTCTGATATCGAGGAAAAAATCATCTGTTGGCCAGTAATGATTATTGTGTTGTTCTAAATTCTGGTGTAGGTTGAAAGCATGATCAATACATCCTCAACAAGGATGAGAACCATCCTGCTCCTCGTGAGTCAATCTTCAGTGGATTTCGGACGATCTACGAGATATGGTGAAAGCCGAAAATTCGGATGCATCCGGAAATAGATGTATCCCTCGTTAGTTGCTGCATAGGTGACGCAAGCGTTTTTTAAATTTATGGGTTGAAGAGTTTTTATAGTTCGAGTTACGAACTGTTCTTGGTTAGATCATCGTTAGAAATCTGGAAGCATTGGACGGCTGCTTCTTTCTAGCTTGAGACTCATCTGTGCGCATCCGGGAACTGGATTCAGGACCTCTGGTCGCGCTACAGAGCTCTTAACCTTTAGACCACTTCAGTCTTCACCTATTCTCCTATACTAGTAGTAACCAACCCCTCACTAGTGGCTAAATTCAAGATTCAACTATCGGGGTTTTAGTAAGAAGCCGTAATTAGTGGAGTCGGACCGTGTTGAGTATGCGTCAGTTATCCGTCATTGTCAGTGGATGAATGTTTCTCAGTTTATTGTATTGATTGGAGAAAATATCAGTTTATATATTCATGAGATAATGAAATGAGAATATAATTTATCAAAAAGATGAAGATTTGAGAGCCATTATTTATCAAGAACTAAACTGTTTATTGGCCGGGCGTTAGGATTTGATAAATTCGAGGATAATTGTAGTTGGATTTATTCACTGGGTCTGGTTTTTTATGAAGGGAAATATACTTTTTCTGAAGACTGATTGATTCATTGTTATTCGTATGAATAGAATCGTACCTACTGGAGTGTTTCAGTCGCTCAACCTAAAACCAAATGGATGTAATAAATACTTCGGAAATTTCGAAATGAGACTGAACGAACCTATGCAGCTTATGGTTATTTTCACAGTTGAATTCAAGTGTTGACCTGAGCTAGACGACCATTTTAAACCTGAAAGCACTGGACGGCCGTTTTGTCCTAATATAGGGCTCCTCAGCGGTGCGCACCCAAGATTCTGCATGCTGGACTCGAGCCCAGACCCGTCGGGTTCGAGCAGAAACCCTTAACCCACAGACCAACGGTGTTAATATCTAACTTCAATCGATCCACAATCCACTTCCAATATACAGAGGTTGTAAAGAGAGAGTTAACTGACTAAATTCCCAGTGTTTTAATTCAAAAGGACAAAATATGCTGTTTTATGACAAGTTGAATGATCTCACTCTAGAAATTTCTGCTAGTTGATTATCCTTATACCATACGTACACATAAGCCAACATTATAAGCTCAGTCCTGGAGCTTAGTTGATAAAATTTCAATTACATTTGGAAAGTCAAGTCGTTAATAATGATTAATTCACTTACGTAGACAACTTCTTTCCATGTTAACTTTATTACTGTTGTGGCTTTCAGCAATTTAATCTTCAATATCATAATGATTATGTTTATTCTTTGAGTCTCAAAAACAATCTTAATGTTTACTCTCATGAGGAAAGAAGTCTTTATTTTTACCTAATATCTGTAAATTTATAAAATTAAACTCAGTCAATACCGTCACTAGGTTTAAGGACGATTATTTATTTGTTTATGAGTATATTGAATAATAGGTTGTTTTATATGTAAATCTTTCAGTGGCTTCATGAATAAAATATTTACACCTTATTCTTTCGAATAAACAAACAGATTTTCATATAATCCTAATTTATCGAATATGACGCTAGTGATCTTTATATACTATTTATCAATTCATATGGGTTCGAATCTCATGAGGTGGGATTGTGGGCACGCACTGCTGAGGAGCTCCACATGAGAACGAAACGGCCGTCCAGTGCTTCCAAGTTTTCCATAGTGGTTTAGCTTCAACTGACTCATGATCGCAACTATTGAAATTACTATGATATCCACAAAAACCCCTTCTGATAATATATATGTAAATAATAATTATCTCTCAGCGATTTCGTATTTATTTGATTATTTCGCCTCTTTTTTACTATTTAGCTTGAAATGAATATAGGTAAATTTATTTTTCATGCTATTTTATTTTAATTTAGATTGGTCAAACAAACAGCCAATTAAATTCTTAGGTATATTAAATATAAATTACTCTTATTACATCTATGGATCTCTCCTAATGAAAGTGGAGTTAGATTCCTTATATAATTAGTACAATTAATATTCATATAAATTTTCAACCTTGGATTCTTCAGAATTTATGTATTGGCTGTATATTGATTTAAGTATCATTTCTATAAACCTTCTTACATTTAGTGAGTTTGTGATTTTTCTTTTCATAAAGTGGTTATTATGTTATTATTATAGGGTATTATGAAGATTGTTGAATTTGAAGTTTCACATCAAGGAATGACCTCGGCTAGACAGTCAAGTGAAAACCAAGAAGTACTTATTAGATGCATGAGATTCTTCAGAAATTTTGCATCCACTACTCCACGAGGACTCGAACGCAGGACGTTCAAGCCTCTGTATAAGATCTTATCCTATCTAAACACCAAGTTGACATCCAAAAATTTACGTTTCTAACTTCAGTCATATCGCGCTCGATGTAATACCTAAAGGTCTTGGCTATCTTCCCAATGTCAGTCCTTGATGTGACCTTCATGTTATGCTTTTTTGAATTTACTTCTACGGGGAAATAATTGCATGCATCCAGTTTGCATTGAGGATTTTATATTTAATTTTTATCAATATACTTAATTATTGTAAGTATTAAAATAACTGAAAATCCCTTAAGAACATGTCTATAGATATACTGAGAAAAGAATTTATCCGTTGGATGTAATTCATAATATAATATTGTGAAGCAAAAATCATGTCATATTATTAAATTTGTAGGAATAGATATTATTACAATATATCGAAGCACATCGTTCTGATTTACTAGGCTAGGGATAATGTAAAATACTACCACAGAAGTCCTTTCAATTTGTAGATAATCAGAAACCATTATATTTAATCTTTCATTGATGCTCAAGTTAGTGAGTCATTTGTCTTTTAAAATGTAAACTGTTTTTCTCAAAACTGTAGAAACAATCATCAAGAAAACTATGAGACTTGACTTAGATGAACAAAAGCCTATTACAATGCACCTCATCGACTTTTATTGGTCATAAAATAATTTAAAAATCTACATAACTTACTTTTATGTTGAGTCAACAGAACTTGCCCATCCTTACTTATAATGTTTTTTTTGTCTCATACACATCTGAATTCATTTATTGTTTACATATGCTGATGTCCACTACTGTCTTTTGTTGTTTGTGGTAATATAAAGTTTTAAACATACGGAACTAGTAAGCTACTGATTTAGAATTCCTTATTCTATATTCCTAATTCAGACAGATCCTGAAATTGAAATCTACTTACTTTAAACAAGTGGTTATTTACCGTTTTTGCCCCAAAATAATGAATACAATATTAGGATGAAAAGCCCTGAAATATCTTCAAGTTTGAATGTTTCTCCAATTGACGTCAGTTTATGATGAACACTACTTTCGAATCGTGCAAAACTTTTCTTAGAATAACATGTTTTGTATTTGCTTTTACCTGTATTACTGTTATTGAAATGATGAAAAAAATGTTTAAGGCCATTTTTTAAAAAACATCCAATTGAAGATGTTTTTCTTTTTCTGACCAAGAAAACGGTTTACATTTGTTTTGCTGACGCAGGTATGTTAATATTGCAAGGAGACCTATATGTATTGGAACTTAGTAAATATGTGAATAAGTAAAGCTAATTCGTGAGGAGTATGGTATAAATTGTCTAGTGTCATGTCTTATCATTTAATTAACATCGAGAATAACAATTTTGTATCGTTAACTTATAAGTAACTCTAGAAATATCTCCAATTCTAGGAAAAATACCTTAGAATACTATTGTCGACTCTTAATATATTTTCTTTCATTTCTTAAGTACGGGTTAAATAATTCATTTTCAATCTAGTTTTATTTTAAACAAATGAAAATAGTCACTATTTTTTTCCTTTATCATGTTTTGTTAATCATTTTGTTTTTTGAATCCATGAGACCTTATATTAGTAAAAATGTCTTGGTAATATTGTTTTCTTAACCGGATGGTTTAGATACATCATAACTTTAGTTGTCATTCTGGACAAAATCATCACTGCATATTGCAAATAAATGTGAAAACTTTTGATTATTCCACAAACATCCAGATTGTATTATTATTATTATTATTATTGTTATTATTATTATTATTATTATTATTATTATTAGCTTTATTCAGTATTTATTTTTGGCGCAATATAGAATTCTTAGAACAAATATTTCAGCGAGTTTCCATTTTTTATTTCTTGATCGATATTGACGATAAATATTGAGTGATCGCCAGTTGGATATTAGCACTTCAGAAGTCGACATCTGAATAATATTCATTCGTTTCAATGCACATTTTCAGCAATCATGATGTATCCGATTGTAAATTTTTGTAACTTGTACAGCGAAAGGTAGTTATGAAATTACTTGACATAACGACCTATTAAAACAAACAAGGAAACAGATAACTTGTTGAAATATGTAAATGGCAGGAACAAGTAGCTCAGATATTCAATGGCAACTACTAGGGCAACAAACCTCTGAAAGTAGAGGGTATATATTTTCATTACTGTTCAAACCTTAACGCTACTAATATTTCTGCACAGAAGTGTTCCATTAAAACAATCAATCAATTTCGTCGCATTACTTGGATTATTTACAAGTTAAAACAAGTCATCAGCTAAGATGATCTTCATTTATGCCACTGAATAGTTGGTGAAAACTAGTGGATGATTAATTCACCATATTTGTGATCATTTTCTTCGATTACATACAAACTATAAATTATTGAAAACAAAGAATATTATATTTACAATACAAAAAAAGAATCATCTGGTTCATTAAAAAAACCGTAGACTGAAATTTCAACTTCAAATATAATTCATATATAAGAAGTTAGCGCATTTAGGATAGACACGTCGGTCAAAGTGCCAGATAAGTTCTTCACTAAGTTAATGAGAAAACGACAAAACATTTGAACTAAATTCCAATAATGTTCACAGTAAAAGCTATCTTTATTTTAAAATCTAGGCTTCTTAAACACATGCTAATGAAACAGTAATATCGATTGATCTACTGAGTCTTCAATATCTCGACGGCGGCAACCTTCAGACGCTTCAAGTAGAAAGCTTATAAATGACAGATGAAAATTAAACCATTTCGTTAGGTCTGAAATCCTTTAGAAAATGATTACTGTTATCCCACAGCTGTCATGACTGATTGATATCATTTTGAAAATGACTGATTATTAGTTGGGGTCGATTCGTTGATTCGCTCCTATTTTGGATCTTTTCCGGTATGAACAGCCAGTATATTATGTAAAAATAGAAACCAGGACGTTTCACGTAGTCTCGAAATAGACAAAAACTATCCATTACAAATTCATTTGCTCTACACCATGAAAAGACCCAACTCCGGATAAAGAAGGAAGGTATGGTATAGGGTTAGCAACTCCATCCTCTAAAAAAATACCTTACTAAAAAGACGTTAACCAGTAAAATGCACTTAAGCCATTTAAATTCTGTCCTGGAAGATAAAGGTTCTTCAAGTAGACGAGTTATGAGGGTTCAGGGGAGATAGCTGTGATTATTCCAAAGCCATGAGTTCAGTGCTTCTTCCGAAAACCATAACAATATAATACTATATATATATATATATATATACTGCCTTCAAAATATTTTCTTTATGTAAAAATAAAGTTTGATTGCTAAGACTGAATCATCACACTCAACATGTTCAAAGTAAGTTCAAGTAAAATAAATATCAAAATTTCAGAGGTTATACTGAGGGTGATAACTAATCTGCGATTAGATACACACATCCATAATTCCTTCTGACGCCTTTGGTTTATCAGATATATGTATTATGCACGAAACTATAATCTAAATGACTGTCATCAGATTATTAAAAGCATACATAAAAAGCGTAAAACAATACTCACCAAATGATTCGATTGATAAATTCTTATATATAATGGGAGCACATTTTAAGAAGACTATTTATGAGTTATACATTTCATTTACTGATACAGAAATAGGATCTTATCATTCAAAGAGCATAAATTATTGACATGCATTATGATGTAAGATATTAAGATTTTATTTGAATAGTTTATGATGCCCTTCGAAAGCATATTTGAAAATATCCTTACATTTTTCTGCAGAGAAAAAATATAAGATCTGTTCGATCATGGTTACTAAGAAAACGCACAAACCGGCTTTTGTGATACTGATCAAGTGCATTGAAATTTCGTAAAACGATTATCGGAAAAAGATTTCGACAGTTCCTTCGATACATAGATTAAAAATATTGAACACCACATTCGAAAAACATTCTGATGTATTTGAACAGAGTAAAAAACTGAAGGCTCAACTGTGAAAATGGTTATCATTATTTGTTTCTCTTTTAATTGTATCAGTTTGTTTGAAAGCAAATAAAGAAGTCTAAGAATTATGATTACCGCTAATTTAGAAACAGTCGGTTGAGTACAACAAACTCTAACTCCTAAAAAACATCAATACTTAAATTACTGGGTCATTTATCAAAATTATTTGTATTTAAACTTTCTTTCGAAGGTTTGCATTATTAAAATATAATCTCACTGTGATATTTGATAAATTCAAATGTTCGTAACTTTCATCTTCCGAAACAACCAAGTACAGACATCTAGACTTTGATTGCTTATTAGTGTGGAAATGTGAGAAGTTATTTTCTGTATAGTTTTGCAGTACTAAGTAAGTGTTCAACATAAACATTAACGAATTTAAACTGAGATTCTTTTCTTCAATAGAAAATAAACTCAGTATAAATGTAAACATAGGACTTACATCTATACATCATGCTTGATGGCACTCATCAATGGAATAGATCCTAAAAAAATTAAAATAACTGTTTCTCACCAGGGTGAGTGAAAACATTAACATTGTAGTTAATTTATAATCTATAAATGCAGTTTGAGTAATTAGGACTAACCATCCTGAGGTTTGTCAACTTATGTATGATATCCATTTGAATATCCTTAATTTACGAAATTACCCAATAATCACCATTTTTCCCTGAAACGTTAAAATCATGATAGTAATACGCTAAAAGGTTTTTATTTGCGTCATTTATTAAATAATTTATGGACAGTAAAATGTTCTGTAGAAAAACAACAGTCACGCTGTGTCTGTTTGAAAAATAGCATTTCAATTGTGCA